CTTATCATCCATGCTTTTATTCATTTTGTTATTGGTTTTAGAAGTCTTTTGATCTTCAAAACTTCTGCTAATTTTGCCATTTAGCTTATTGTCCAGCTTCTTGGGAGATTTCGCAATAAACACGTGATCTTCTGCTTTACTATTAATTTTTGTTTCAATTATAATCTTATCGCCCTCAGTTTTTACTAATATTTTGTCTTCAGGTGGCGGGAATGTTGGTAGCGTATCTTTTACTGGGCTAATCAATGTTTTAGTTTGTTTCAAAGCAGCTTCAAAGAGCAATTGTTGTTTCTCTTTACGTTTGGCTATTTCGGTATCACTATCTTCTTGAGATTTTGTCCGTTCTTTACTAGATCCTCGTTTAACCTCCATTTTTTCTAAGGACTTTGATTTCTCTTTGGACACTTTTTTTACTGTTTGCTCTAATTCTTGGCTCTTTGTACGTGCTAAGTCAAGCGGCGGTACTGTCAAGAAATCTGGCCTCTCTTTAAGAGAAGAAGGTAGAGACTTTTGGGTTTGTAATGCTTTAACTTTCGTAGCGTTTGTATCAAGTGAACCAGCTTTATTTAACTTTCCTGTAATTTTTTGCTTTTCATCTGGTTTTGTCTTTAAAGTTAACTTTTTCTTTTCTTTGCGTTTAATTCTTTCGATGTCGGGAACAATTTGATCTTCACTTAAATCTGAAAGTTTTCTGATACTTCCTCTAGGAGAGTTCAATGAAGATGTTGGCGATCTTGATGGTGATTTTGAAATTGGTGATCGAGAAAGAGGAGACCTGCTGAGTGGAGATCGTGACAATTTGGTCTGTGATTTTATCTTAGTTAAGTCGTATCTACGTTTGAAAGATCTAGGTCGCCGTTGTTCTACTAAATCTTCTAACAACCGTAATTCTTCGTTATCAATTACAACAGTTTTAATTTCCTCGGGTTGATCTCCGTGTTGATCTTCTTCTACCTCTTCAATTTTTTCAATGGTTTCTTTTTTAGCTATTGCATTACTATTCGTTTCTTCGATCAATGATTTCTCTTCCAATATTTCGCCTTCTTCATTAATATCTTCAACAGTGTCATCCTTAGAAGAAAATGCATTCATAGGTGGAAGTCTATGTAACTGAATGACAGGTGTGTCTAAGCTCTTAGCTCGACGACTAGCCGTCGGTGAATCTTGTGTAGCTTTTTGTCGCTGCAATGAGAATACAGATCCTTCTGATAGGTTTAATCGAGCATGTGCAAATAAAATAGGTGTCCCCCCTTGTTTACGCAACATAGGGGAAATCAATTCGTCACGTAAGCTCTTTTTAATACTCAGTTTATTATTCTTTTCATCTTTGTACGCATCACTTTTTTCTTCTGACTGAGTACACAAACCAGTAACTTTTTGGATTTCCATGTCAGCTAAATGCTCGTCATCCGATTTAAGGAATTCTGTGCTTTCTAATATAGGTGATGGAATATTTTCATTGTATTCCCATGTCGAACTTTCTTTACTTACTTGTTTAACATCAGGGATTTTGATAGCTATGTCATCTTCAGAGCTTGGAATCGAAATAGATCGTTCTGAAATACGACGTAATTCAGTCGCATTCCCAGATATACTTTCAAGAATTTGCGGATTATATTTTGCCTCTAATTCCGCTAATTTACGACACTGCGGTGGAGAACCTTCGATTTCAGTGGAACTCATCGTTTGTCCACGATGCCAAGCACCCGAAGTAATTTTATCATATTCATGTTGCAAAATAGGTTCCAACTCTTTACGCGATTGCGGCGGAGAAAACTCTAATTTTGGTGCTGCTTCAGTTGTTCCAAAAACATCATCCGAATCAACACTTTCGTCATCTGACGAAAATGATGTAATTCGTATTTTGTTACTACTCTTTGTTTTAATTTTGCCTCCAGTGCCTTTTTTTCCTGCACCACGTCCTTTAGGTCCTCTTTTTGGAGGCAATTTTTCGGATTTCGACTTTATATCTGCTCGTAGTTTCTCCGCAGCCGTCATTTGTTTCGGTTCTTTACAAATTGGAGGTTGTTGAACATTACGACCGTTTATAGCAAATTTGATATCGTGAGTAAATTGAGGTTCCTGACGAATACTATCAGTTTTCGAGCTTGTAGCAGAGTCACTTTCGATTTGACTTAATTTGGAATTTAACGTTTCGAGCAATGCTGGGTCCAAATTTTTGGTAATATCTCTCTTTGGACTAGGCATATGCTGCAGTTGACCAGTTTTGTCAACTTCTAATGTGACTGGATCTACTTTCGATAAATCAATATTCTGCGTAAATAAGAAATCACGGCTTTCCACTTCTAAGAATTTAGAACTATGTTCTACTTGAATACTATTTCTTGGAGATTTTGGAGATTTCGGAGATTTGGGTGACTTCGGAGACTTAGGAGATTTGGGCGATTTAGGTGACTTTGGAGATTTAGGTGATCGAGGCGATTTTGGATGATCATGATATTTGCATCTGGGATGAGCGTTCACTATATGTCGACCATTTTGTGAAGGAAGCATAATAATATCAGGAGGAGGTTGTCTTTTATCATCTATAGGGGAAGGAGCTGTTCCATTCATGACATGCCTCTTGTGTAAAACATATGGTATATCATAACCATCGTCTATAACTTTCTTATTATCTTTAAAACCAGCTTTAAAAGCATCAAATTCTTTGAAATAATTCTTTGGTAAATCGAACGGTGATCGTATATGATCTGCGTGCCTAGATGGTAATTCGAAATGAGATCGTTTAGTTGCTATTGGCGGAGCGCTCGGGATTTGGCGGAATATATAGTCTTCGTCGCTGGATTCTGCTGGTGTAAGATCGATCGATTTTTGGTGCATCAAGACATGCCTTCGAGAATTAACGCTACTAAAACGAGGTCTATTGGCAAGACTATTAGGATCACTTTTAGTTCTCTCTACAGTAGGGTGAGTGTAAGGTACAGCTGTATCAGCTAGACGACTACTAGAACTGGTATCTAATATGAGTTTAGGATTGTACTCATCAAAATGAGTCTTAGCCATCAACTCTTCTTTCAAGTTTTCTTTCCTAATTATATGGGTGTGAACTTTGCCCCGCATGTTTTTATCGAACTCGGATAGTAAAATTGACGGGGTGCCAGACTGAATAGCTCCCGTAGCTTTGTTTACTTTATTTTTGGTGTACTCGATGCTGTCCATTGCCGGCAAAATACGTACATTAACGTCAGATTCATTCGATGATTCTTTTATTAGATGCGATGTAGGAGGATTTTCTTTGCTAGTAGACCTAGTTAAAGACTCAATCTTATCTTTATCAAAACTAAATACCGTATCAGACGAACGACGTCTTTGATAATTATGTATTTTGGTGATCCTGCTATCGATCTCTGTATCGTGGTCCGTATTTTTATCGAGCCAAATGTGTGACGTTTGGTGCATATCTTCCTCCTCGGTAGAAATTTCTTCCACCTTTTTTGGAGGGCTCACATCTGAATAATGACCGTATAAATCGAAATCGACATTTTGCAAACTGGCGGCATGCATGGGACTAGTCTCTTTGTGTCTACTGTTACTCGGAAAAGTCGAATAGGGAGTCGGTATATGATAGTAATTAGATGAATTAGCAATGTTTGCAATTAGATCTTCGTGAGACTTGTCAAACAAAGTTCTCTCATTATACTCCGGTTTCTCCATACCAATAAAAGTGGGCTGGGTATCGAAGAAATCTTTCGCCGAATCCGGACTGGACGACGGAGAGATAGGATCGAAAGGGTCTATGTAAGTGTTCTGAGCACCCGTGATGCTGCGTCTACGTAAGCCGATTTCATCGGGATCGTACAAATTCTTTTTACAATCATAGTAATCAGATTTAGAATCTTGGCTCGAAGTCCGGGACCCAGATCTATCGGAACTTTTACTTTTTATAGTTTCACGCGACTTCTTGCTGTCGGTGTGATAAACACTGTCGCGAGATTTTTTACTGGATTCGGCGCTACTCTTCGAAATTTTAGAGTCATATATGTCACTGGTCCTAGACTCCTGACTCGAAGTGCGAGATCCGAGAGCGCGCTTTATCTCCTTGTAGAAACTACCGTCCGAACGAACGGACAATTTCTCCCGCGGCAGAACGCGCGGGTCGTCGATCAGGAATGGATCGAGCGCAATATCGTTATCGCTCCGGTACTTACCGCTCACCGTGTCGAGAGGTACCTCTTCTTCGCGGTCATCGCTCTCGGACATGTGCGAAAGCGATCGATCGTCGTCCGACGGCAGGTCGTTGCCGGAATCGAGGGAACACGAGCGAGTCCGAGCGAGCGAGCCGCGGCGTCGCACCCGAGCGTACCGGCGGCGCTCGGACTCGTCGTCGGAACGTTCGATCACCTCATAACTGTCGTGGGACACGTCGTCCTGGGACCCGGTGCGCCCGAACGGAGCGACGTCCGGATGGGGCTCGCCAATCGCGCCCGGGAAGCTCGACGAGTACGCGCGCCCGATCGTCTCCCGCTGCGAATCGATCGAACCGCGCTCGCCGAACACGAAGGCGAGCGTGCGCGCGTCGTCGTACCGAGTCACCGGCGAGTCTACGCGCCGCGACGGCGACCCGTACGAGTCGAGGTTTGCGATCGCGCTGCGCGTGTCCCGACGGCGTTTCGCTCGACCGGCGTCGTCGAAGCTGAAATCGCGAAGGTTGCGGCAGCTCGCACTGCGCCGCCAGCACACAGGGCGGGGCGGGGCCGCCTCGGAGCCGTCCTCGACCGCGAGCGAGCCGCCGGAGCGGCTGGAGCGGGTGGAGGGGCACGCCGAGTACATGTTCGCCTGCGACAGCTCGTACTCCAGCCGCTCGGAGGAGGCGCGGAAGCTGGAGGAGTGCTTGGCGAGCACGAAGTCGGGGTAGCCGCTAGGGCCCGGGGAGGCGGCGGCAGGGCGCGTGGCAGTGCGCGTGGCGGGCGCGGCAGGCGGCGGGCAGGGCGCGGGGCGGGGCGGCGCGCGTGCGGGGGAGGGGGAGCGGGTCGTCGCACCTGGTGGGGGGGGGCGCGACGCACGCGGTGGCGGAGTGGGCGCGCGACCGCGGCCACTCACGAGCGACGAAATCACCGGGCTCCATGTACTCTCCGGAGAATCCTGCGGACGATACACGTTTTCAGACTTGACGGTGACGAGTGATCGAATCACTCGATAGTTAAGCATACGAGGAAAAAATTTTACGAGACCTGTTAGCCCATTATCATGTCGTATAGGCCCTAAAAATCGGTGGAGGAAATGAAATCTCTCTATACGAAGACACCGTCGATAAAAATACACAATGAAGTTCGCAACGCTATATCGATGGAGAACACTATACTTATTCCGAACTTACTCGATAAAGTAAGATTTTACTGTAAATTCGATACTAGTTCGCATCTGTCGACTATAATGATCGAACTACAAAATTATATCAGGAAGCCTTATCCATCGAGCCTCACCAATGGTGTCGTCGTCCGATGAGGCGGAGGCGAAACCTCCGTAGGATGATGATTGACCTCTGCACGGGTCACCAGTTCGGGAGCTCCCTGCGAACGATGCGACCGATTAAATTTACAGTCGACCGATGAGAATCGTCTCAACGTTAATGCAGCAAGAAATATTTCCCAGTGCCGATGAAAATTTGAAAGACGTGCAAAATGATTCGAGAATGTGTGCATGAACAAACATTCACCATATACCCAGAGACGATACTGGCGGTTTCAGGTAAGTGATTGGAATAAAAACACATACATTTAAGCCAAATAATTTAAATAAAAATTTGATCCCTTTCAATCTATCCCTTTTTAATTCGATTCTATGTTTAGTCTTTACATTATCTTTAGTCGTTATATACTTTAAATAGTCATAAATAAATATCTTAAATATTAACTAGCAAATTTTTGTACATAAACAAGTGGCGCTCTATGACATCATTTCACTCATTTAAGAACCCACTTGATACAAATATTTTAATAAATAAATATACTGCATTTATTCCGATCACTGGTTATAAATGATACGGGAACATGATCATTCAATTATTATTTTTTTTTATATTAAAAATAATCATCCAATGCTCCAACCATTGATCCAACTCTCCATTTGTATAGAAGTAGTTAGTGAACAATGTTGGATTTTGTCCTATTATTTTTTATACATGTACCTGGTACCACATTATATTGGATGATAATGTGGTACCAGGGACATATTTGTATAAACATTCTCTAAAACTATATTGACAAATACCGCTCATATCATCTTATAGAAATGTTTAAGAGAGGGTGACCTGATCTAAAAAATGGTTAAACAACGGTAATATAACAATTTTGAATAATCCGTGAGCATTTACAAATGACCAATTTACCATGCTGCCATATTAAAAATGTACAATAAAATCTTCGATCAACAATACAACCAGATAACGCCTCGTATACTAAAACAATACTCAAATACGGCACCATACACTGCGACAACTAAGGAACATACTATCACAGAGTATATTCTGTGATAATACTCTAAGTGGCAACTGAGCCCCGGAACTGGGTAAGTCACGTTGTCAATTTTGTTTCTTAGTAAAATATACGTATAATTATATACGTTGATAATAAGGGACCGGGGACAGCAAATAGATGAAAAATTAAATTATGTGTGGTTAAAAATTATTCGCTGAATATTTTTGCTAAATAATAATTATTTCTATTTTTAAATCAATCAACAAAAAAATATTATTCCAATATTTGTAGTCTGCGTGTCACGTCATACGAAATTCCAAACAGAGCGCATGACGTTATTTGTGGGTAAATTGATAGTAAAATTATCTAGGAAAAGTGTGGGAAATATTCAAAGTGCAAAATGATTTTAAGAATTTACTTGATTTTAAGCAAGTTACAAGGGTCAATCTTCTGTATTATTTATTTTTGAGTTTGACTATACGTACTGAATACTATAATTCATTTTTATTTCAATGAAAATCCCTTTTATTTACCCCACAAATGACGTCACTTCCCCAGAATCACCGTTTACGCAGTTAATTTAATCATTTAAATTTTAAACATTGTTTTGGGTACATAATTAAGGTTAAATTTACATCAAATAATATTATTTTGTGGGAATAAGCACACGTACTGACTAATTTAAAACAGTTTTTTAGAAACTTGTCCAATCTCCTATTTAGGAAAATGAAAGGTTTTTGATGTAAACAACAGTACAGTTGTAAAACCTATCTATTATCTTTGCACACATTATAATTTTAAATTGAGAGTTAAACATTATAACTTTTTATAATTAAGAACATAGTTACAAAACATTTTTTAGTTATTTTGGTATCAAACAGTCATTTACTTAACAAATTGTGTATGATTAAATGTATTTTAAATTACAGACGATTTGAAGTATCTATTAAATTGTTTACATATCTCACTGCCACAAGAAAAACTTTTACTTCATGAAACATCTTATCTGAAAATATCATGTCTATAGTTTTTTGAATTAACACCACTGCTAACACCACTTCGGATTCCTTTTGAAAATGTTATCATATGGAAACATTTGTATTAATTACCATTATAATATAATTTAATTTATTGTTTGTTTTTTTACCCATGACTACCACAAACTACCATTATTAGGTTTGGAAGTGTGTGATCTGTGTTGATATTTTACTCGACTAATAACTGGATCCGAAGTCGATGGTATATTCCGACCCTCATCTCTGTTAAAACTATTCATATTCAATCAACGATTTAAGTAATTTAGTTTTATGGTTTAATTATTCACTTTCAGGGAACATCTTTTGTTGTAAATATATATATATATATATATATATATATATATATATATATATATAAAACACCCAGACTGATACAAACCTACATGGTTATGCATACGGATTTGTAATCGAGAACACGAACGACTACACCAAGATGGTTTTCAATTAGTGTTCAAATAAGAATCATAGCTTTTAGTGGGATTGTTACCATGTACCTTGTTTTTGTCGAGTTCCCGGTATTTCAGAACTGCTATCTAACTATCACGGGGCATGACGCTTACTACAACTCTGAAATATCGGGAACTCAACAAAAACAAGGTACATGGTACCAATCCCGCGAAAAACTATCATTCTAATGTACATGACCATGAAAGCTTAAAACAATAAAGTGTTCAAATTTTTGGTAGAAAAATATTGTAATGGTGCTGTCTTAGAACATCGAATATTTGTGAATGTTTGCCATGTTGGCGCGTGAGTTGGCTCAGAAATTTGTTAATTGTAAACATTGTATAATAACATTTGAATAATGCTGGTTATTTTTGCAGTTTTAATACGGACTGTGGCATTGTAACAAGTCTGAACGTTGGCGACGTCGCAAACAAACTAAAACAAAATTAGACCTCACTTTGAAGTGAGGCGTTATTTCGTTGGCTATATTTGAAACTGACTGGACATCTAGTTGTATTGTTGATTGAATAATAAAATATATATTTAAACAATGTAATACAAGAAATAAATTGCGGCACATATATTTATGTTTTACGACTAACATAAAAAAGACAAAATTATTAATTTAATGATTAAATGCACGCTAACATCAATCGAATGTCGAAATATACTTGTTTTTTTTTTCTCATAATCAGTTTCATTTTAATTTTTCTGATGGTGTACATAGATCACGCCCATTTTAGGACATCCCCCCTTTCAAGAAGATCGAATGTCATTCACCAGATCAATCTCAATTTCTGTTTGTTTCATAATAAAACTTAAAAAAAATTAATATAATCGAACGTTTCCTTTCGGATTGCCATCGCAATAACTATAAAGCTACGATGTTTAAATTCCACACCCAGTTAGTACTTACAACGTCGTGTACGTGCACCTTAATGTACCAGTTTTAAAGTTAATGCAAAAAGAAAGACGAGCAGTTTTTTGGCTCGATTTTGAATGATTATTTGTGACAGTATTTTATTTCTTTGACGTTAGAGTGCATGTAATGTGTCGAAGTATAATAGCCGACAAAATAAATATATTTGTCGGCTATTATATAAAGACACAACATGTAGTGCGTTCGTAACTTTATTGTACAACAAGAAATATTTCGGACTGAAGACTGTTAGGCCAGAGATGACATAGATGGATAGTTTAGAGACGTTAACAAAATAAATATTCCAGTGAATGTCTTACGATTTGACTGCAGTACAGTTTTGACAGCTGAAAGAGACAAACAAAAAATAGTTTCTAATTTTGAAGAATAATTATGTATAATAATGCATTCAAGTTGAACGTATTGTTTGGATGTTTGAATTACATTAATTTATGTGTTATATTAACAGAAAGTAGATGCTAATATAGATTTTCTACATAATCTTCAGTCGGACCAAAGTTCAGTCAATATCCTCATTTTATTAACGCAAAAAGCTTGGTTCGGCAAGGGCTCAGTATAGTGTGAGATTCCTTACGGTTCAGGCAGTAATATACAGAAGCATGTCCTTAATTAAATAAATCACTAACTGTATACAGTTCAAGTTTTTACTGTAAATGGCATAGACGAAATATTGCTGAATGGAGACCAGTATGGTTACCTTATGATGAAATAAACTACAGTTATAAATTCGAGCGGCAAGCAAGTCGCGCCCTCCGATGTGCGTCGCATCAGCGGGCCATGTCAGTAGAGTTAGTTACCTTGTCCCTCGTGGTGGCATAGGCGGTAGCTACGAGCGGCGGGCAAGTCGCGCCCTCCGATGTGCATCGCATCAGCGGGCCATGTCAGTAGAGTTAGTTACCTTGTCCCTCGTGGTGGCATAGGCGGTAGCTACGAGCGGCGGGCGAGTCGCGCCCTCCGTCGCGCCCTCCGATGTGCATCGCATCAGCGGGCCATGTCAGTAGAGTTAGTTACCTTGTCCCTCGTGGTGGCATAGGCGGTAGCTACGAGCGGCGGGCGAGTCGCGCCCTCCGATGTGCGTCGCATCAGCGGGCCATATCAGTAGAGTTAGTTACCTTGTCCCTCGTGGTGGCATAGGCGGTAGCTACGAGCGGCGGGCGAGTCGCGCCCTCCGATGTGCGTCGCATCTGCGAGCGAAGTGCTGCTGCGCGCGCCTCCTCCGCACTGTATCCCTTCATCATCAGAGAGGCCTCCAGGTAGTGAGGTTGCTTGTCCCACTCCAGGGAAATCGCTACATAGAAAATAGACATTTCCAATATCAAAATCGACGCTGTGTATCATATTACGCTGATAAAAATAAAGTTACGAAAAACATAAAGCGAACCTAGCCTACTAATGTAAACATAACTTTTATCACAGCGTTTACCCGTTTCACTAGGTGATTACAATTTTATGCAAATATGAGAAGAATGTTTCAAAATGGCCCTAGTCATACCGTCAGAGCCGGGCGGCAGCGGCAGCAGCGGGTGCGCGGAGAGGCTGGCGTTGAGATGGGTGGGCGGCGGGGCGACGGAGGCGCGCGACCCGTGCGACGCGCGGAACGACCCCGACCTGCGACCGCCAGAGGATGGTGACCATAACACACAACTCTTGCTCTCTGCTTTTGGTTTCGTCCACGACTAACTAACGATACGCGATATACCGTTTCAACGATTATACATTACTTCGAGCCGGCGCTCTATTCTGTACGCGTTAAAAATACCGTAGTTGCAATTTCAAGTTGTTAAATTGAAAGTATTTTACGAGTCAGCGCTCCGTCGGCAACCTGATGAAATAGTGATTTTAAATATTTGTGCAGAATTAGGATTTACATATAGGAATTAAATGTTTTAACGGTTTCATGTTTGGAGAGCGATAGTTTTCTTATTTTTCATTATTATAGTCGTCTGCAGTTTTCACTATACATAAAATATATTCAATCGATACAAGAATGGACGATGGATTGAGTGTAGTACCCAATTAAAGTCAAAAGTTATGTGACATTTTAAAAGTATCTTTGAGCCGACCGGCGATGCTTGCTTACTTATATTACAAATACCTTACTAATGAGGATCTTTCAACTTCGAAGTAACCATTAACATCACCATTAATATATTATATTTGTGACTTAAATTATTAGTATAATAGGTAGATACGTCATCAACTACCTGATTTATATTAATGCACTCGTTATGCATTATAATTGTAAATCACACACGTCAAAAAAGGGCAAAACCAGAGTCCCTTTAATAAAAATATCTTATGATACCTTAAAATATAGAAAGAAAAATACAGAATCAGAAAAACATTCTCGAAAGATATCCACAATCGAGCACTGACAGAGACACGAGGGTAGGGGGAAAGTGTTTCAAAAACATACGGTGCAAGCAGGTATTATTCGACATTATAAACAGCTAAGTAATGCCATTGAACACAAGAACAACGGTAGAGAACTGTAAGTGTACGTATATAGATTAACATGGGTGGGTTACAAGTTACAAAACGCTATATGGCAAAGTGATTTAAAACATAAGTGCTCGTGATAAGGATTAAAACGATGCTATGTTGAAACAGTTCGCTTCGAGGAGCACAGGGAGTGGACGCGCGATGTTAACGGCGGAGCGCAGACCGAACGCGGCTAAATATAATGCCCTAAAACAAACGAACACACCATCCTCCGGCCTTATGCCGCCGGTCGACTCGACCACACGATATAATTACTTTTCGGAAGAAGCGAAAGTCTCAACGTATACAGCGCATGCTCGAGAATGCTAATCACCATCGATAAATACAAAACTATTCGAAGCCTCTCGCTCTAACCAGTCGATAGTAGTTAGTCGTTATTAGGGACTTTAAAATTTTCATGCAAGAGCTCACCGGAGTCTTTTATCTCTGTCTCTCTCACACGAACGCCCACAAGACAAAACCAAAAGCTAATTCCCCGGCCCATGCTGACCACTCACCGTTTTCGGACTTACGCTAGCTTAACTTATGTATATTAGATACGGCTTGCTTAAACTAAAGAGTTATTTAGTCAACACAGTTCAAAGATACCATACTATGTACACATCTAAAAGCATGTCTAACTACTAATACGAAGTTAAGTATCGCTAAGCTAGACTCGGCATGCAAGAAGGTGAGAAAGCTGTACATACACCTACCTTTGGAATGTCTGTCGCTTCACGTAATTGTCTCTGACGAATTCTACTATTTGCTTCTGCGTTTTACCGCTATACCTGTAAGAATGTTTAAGTTAATATCGACTATATATAAAAACAAATATGAATTGAACAATGAATTACAAAGGCATGAAGAAACCTATTAGTGTATCCGGCTCGAAGGACCAAAATATTTTATTCCCTATTATAAAACCATTTATCAGTGGCACTGACATAGTGAGAGGAATAAACAGAAGGAGCTTGCCTAAATGATGAACCTCGTGATATGACCCTCGTTTTATGCCTAGGCAGCCGCGGCACGCTGGAACACCGGAAGAAGCCGTGATTTTCCACACACTTCTTCCAGAAGTTTTTACACTCATTACGACCTTCGAAGAAGAACTCCACTACATCACGATATGCACCCTGTTCAAGGAAATAAATACATCGATAAATTAATACTGAATTATGTCATATTATATATATCTTTGAACACTACTAATTTGACTTTTTGGTACTGCCAATCCTGCGCAGGTTTGGTGGTAATTGGACTTAAATGTGATATTTTATTGAAGAATGTCGAATAATAATAACCCAAAAGAAAATATTATTCGCTTGCTAATATTGTTTTCTAAACAATTATTCAAAACAACTAAATTTATATCTTGTTTTGTCTAGTCATAATTTCAAACTTTTATATCTCAGTAAAACATTGCATAGATTCTTAAAATTTTCTTTTAAAAACAATCACAGGTACTGCCTATTATTACACACTCACATATCCCTCCGGGTGTAGCTTGATGAGAAACTTCTTTCTTTTGAAAGAGATCTTCCTAATTTTAGCCCAACTAAATGTGTTGATCTTTGTAAAGTTTTGGAACACCACAATGCCCATGTGTGCCACCGCCAAGTTTAATGGCACGCTGTCGTGGTCCTTCGCCGGATGCATTTTGATACCTAGTAGAATAATAACATATTTACTGCCGATAGCTTTCACAGCTGGAACGAACTGGCTAAAAAAAAACTAGACAGCGAGTATTTGTACTTCAGACTTTCCAAGTCTTTATTTTGTTTGAAGAGCTTACAGTATTATTGAAGCTATGAACTAATTACAAACTTATGCAATTAAACAAGAGATCTCAAATTGTTTTTTTTAGCGTGCCATTAAAATAATTTCAATATAAGATCAATTTTTTATCAGGAACGACTTATTCTAGAGCAGTTGACTATTGAACGCGGAATTCTTGTCTCCTCGATTTAGAGAAAGTGAAAAATAATAAAATATATGAACAATCAGTAGTTTGCTGTTACACATTTGAGTGAATAGTCTTGTCTTGTCACCCTTCGAGCACTAAAATTTCATATTATACAAACATTTACATTAATACTCACCATATAATTCACATCTCCGTGCCGTTTCTAATAAATTTAAATCTGCTTCTGCAGGACTTTGACCTCTGTGGAAATAACAAAGGGTTGATTTTTTTTTTAATATTAAAAAATGATTGGTGTAACAATTTTAACAGATAAATAAAATCGTTTAAACGGTCTTCTGGTTTACCTGCGATCAAAAGATTTAACAATAGTAGGACGAGACTAAATATACAAATCGATAACATCAACAACCTCACAGGACTTGAACGACTATAGACTATTCTTAGGACAGACGAAAAAAACTAACAATTGAGTAAGTATTATGTGAGCATTATAAGTAGAAGATTCGTTTCGATCCATAGAAATCTGTGTCGTTTCCCTGAAGTACTGCGTTTTATTGTACAAGACGTTATAGGTCACTGACCCCACCCAGACAGTTTTGGTTAATATCTCTACGCGCAACTAATCTATACTAATATCATAAACTGTTTGTAGGGGATACTCTTCGGGAATTCTGATCAGATTATGAAATTTTTCCCCTACGGAAAGCTACATCATACGCGGGTGCCATAAGTTATAATTTAAGCGCCGCGGGATAACAAAAATTGTCGTTGATGATGTTTAGCTATCCAGTCCTGCGAGATGGCTGGCGGTTAACTAATCCTGTAAAAGTTTGCACTTACTATCCCCCGGTTTCAATAATATACCGACAACCATCGGTAGCAGCTACCGACCGTTTTTTGAGCTACCGACAAACATTCGTTTTTGCGTTTCACAATCATCGGTAGGCGCCTACCAACTACGAACGGTTGTCGGTAGCTCATTTTTTTAAATTGTAATCATATAATTCGAGGAAAAGGGTTCTTTCCATACAGCCTTGTCTTAGGTAATATTATGATTCTACTGAAATGTTGGTCTTTAACATTTAATAATTTCTTGGACAAAATCGAAATCGTAAGAAGGAAGACAGAGACATCAATAGGAAAGAGGTGAACTGATTAATTACGTACCGAAACTAAATTTGAAATTTGTTTTGGAATTATTATGACTTATTTATTATATGGTTAGGTTCTTAAAAGTGGTGTTATTGTGAAACAAATTATCGTCTGAAATGGCATTCTGATGTAAACAAAAGAGTTACCATTACAACAAATAGCTAAAATTTATCTCTTTAAAAGTTTTTAGTAATTTTTTTACTTGAACTTAAAATCCTTTTTTTTAGATAAAAATAAGATAGAAATATTTTATGCTGAAGGCAAGAAACAGCGATTCGGAACATTTGGCTCATTGAATTAAACTTTTTTTTATTTAGTATGATTTATCGTAAAAATATTTATAAATAACACGTTTTCCCTTGTTAATTAAAAGAAAAGTAACAGTTTTTCATTAAAAAAAATAATATTGTAGAAGAGCTTAATGTGTTTTGTAGTTCAGATTAGAAGAATTTAAGTTGTAATCATGTCAATGTTTCTCTTACTACAAATTAATTATTGGTCCAGATGCTTTCTACAATATGTTTACATAATGATTTACCTCTATATAATTATGAAAAACCTGGTTCCGATGAAACTGAATTTGCCACCTACTGAACAAGTATTTTATTCGATATTGATTTACAATTTAAAGTACTTAAAATTGAAAAAGTAATGAAATTCTTATAGGATAATGTCAACAAATCTTACATTTTTATCCCCACATTGTTATACAAAATTAGTTACACTTGAATGAGAAACCTTCTCTTTCATTGAAGTCGATAAAAAATAAGACTATACATCTTATTTCCGTATTATTATTTGGAAAAATAAAATTATAATTAGAAACTTGTGGAAAATGTTTGCAACCCCTAAAATAACATAATTTGTTTATATAAGTTTTTTTTTATCTCGAATTAAATTTCGGAATATAAATAAACGTGTGCAATACACAGTTCATTGAAATGGTACGGTGCAATGTTATGAGCAGTGTTTTGTCAATTTAGTAGGTACAAGAACGCGAACGTGTTACTTTAACATACCTCACCATTTTTTAATATATTTCAATTTTTGCTCCAAAAAAAGCATTTAAAACGTCCAAGTGAACCTCAATGTGAATATTGTCACTCTAGACTAGGTTGTATGTGCTATATCCCTTTGCCTTTAATTATGCCAAAAAGTAAAGTTGATTTATGTTCCGTAGAAGCTTAGCGGGCATTTTATATAGAGTTCACCTTTATTATAAATTGTTAATTGTATAAAGTGCTTTGTACTATAAATATTGAATTTGCAAGATAACATTTATGAATTTGACAGTGAACAATTGTGATCTATTGACATAGAATGATAAATGGTTATTAGAAAAAGTGGAATAATTGTATCAAATCGTAAAACAAACGTAGAAAAATGCAATGGAATAATGTAAAAGTGGAATGATTGTATCAAATCGTAAAACAAACGTAGAAAAATGCAATGTAAAAATTATGTAGTTTTTTATGAATTGTTTTTTATTGGTATAATAAATAAGTTATATCCAAATAAGGTTTTATTAAGAATTAAATCAATATCAGTGTTTAATAAAAAATAAAGGGTATAAACTAATGTAACGTGTATAAGTTTGGTACAAGAAGGTGGCAAATTCAGTTTCATCAGAACAAGGTTTTTCATAATTATATAGAGGTAAATCATCAAGTTTTTCAACAGAAACATATTGTAGAAAGCATCTGGAGCAATGATTAATTGGTAGTATGAGCCCTTAAAGGTACAAACATTGGCATGATTATAACTTGAATTCTTCTAATTGGAACCACAAAAGACATCAAACTCTTCTACAAAATTAATTTTTTAATGAAAAGCTATTATTTTTCTATTAGTTAACAAGGAAAAACGTGTCATTTATAAATATTTTTACGATAACCGACGGAAAATGGCCGGTAGGCAAATTTGACAGATAAGCTACGCATAGTAAGTTTGACAGCTCTACCGAAAGATATTGAAACACCTGTTTGCGCCATTTTCATACATTTTGCCTACGAACGGTTATCAGTATCAGATCAATCCGTTAGTAGCACACCGTCGGTAGCTTTACCTACCAATGGTATGTTATTGAAACACTTTTTTGCTACCATCGGTAGGAAATGCTACGGATGGTAGCAAAAACGGATAGTTTTTTGGTTATTGAAACCGGGGGTTAATGGTACAATCAACTTACATGTGTTTTTTATGGTTCTCCATTATCCGCCGTTCGGATTCGGAGTCCTGTCCTGGGAAGAACTTATATCCGCTGAGATAAGTGTGATCGGGATAGTCTTCCGGCACAAAATCACCACACTCGGCTGCCAACAAACATGATAGCTAATGTGAGAAAGATCATGCGTATGACTCATTTAATAAAACTACTTTGAAACAGTTTTATCCAATAGTTTTATTTAATGCATATTGTAATGTTACAAAACACCAAAAGTGCTTACATATACATATTTGTTGAATAAATCGATTAAAATTAGCGTCACAAAAAATAGGAAATCGTTATTTACTTAAAACCAAACCTAAACCATCTAAACCTTCTTTCTATGTATATTTTATAAATAGCAGGACGTCAAATATACAGTACCACAGAATTGCAACTGGATTCTGAACTGAACGAATGACTTGAAACTTAAATAAATACATACACAACACGAGCTGATAAGAAATTAAATAAAGTATAAAATACTAGTTTCATCGCTTGAGCGTACAAGCGAGTACGTAAAATCCCGTGGGAAGCAGTAGCCGCGCTATACTATGTATGACCCTTTAGCTATTTATGACTACAGGACCTCCGCGACTATGTTATATAAAATTGTATTACATAGACCTCTACAGGAGATTTATTGCCTGGGGTATCTTAATATTATTAAAACTATATCGTTCACAATTATATCAGTGAAAATTTTCAGTTATTTAGCGGCTACATTTGAGCTCAACATTTTAATTATATCAATCATACTCTATCCACATAAAATCAAACTCATAATTGTTCATTGAGTCTAAGCTTGTTACGAGCACTTGTCAAATTCGAAAACTATGCAAAGTTCGCAAATCTACGGCATATATCTGTTAGCGTTGATAATAATTCTTTGTAGATATATCATTTAAATAAGTTTTCCTCTATCAAGTCAATATACGATATAGTATTGAGATCAAACATTCCCAATCACCTTGCACGATATAGCTAGCCATCAGCGCGGCGGTATTCTCATTGCACTGGATGCATCCGTGGGCCAGGTCGCGCTTCACTTGCAGACAGAACAGGTACCGCGTGAACTCCTCCTCCAGGCGCGCAGGGTCAGGCGTGTAGAACTTCACGCAGAAACGGAGCGACGGTTCCAACATAGATAGACCTAGTTGTCGACACATCGGCTTCTCCACGTCCAACCAATACTACCAACAAAATTCCATAATTTATGTATGTATTGATAATGATATAAAGTGAAACCCAAGAATGATAACAGTGACTTTTAGAGCCCGTGGTGAAACCCTTGTCTGATACGTTATTTCACAATAAGGATTGAGTTTCTCTGCAAGATTCGGCGCCATCCCATAAGGCAAAAAGTACCCAAGCTTGGTTGAGGGAGAACCCAGTCCTCGACCCGCTTGATTATTCTTTAGGGACTGAATTAGAGCTAAAGGCCTGGCCAAGGCCAAACTTGGAGTCACTGAAGCGAACCCTTGTTCAAGAAGCAAAGCGAATTTCGCTAGAAAAGATTCGTGCCGCCATTGATGACCGGCCAAACCGTCTAAGGGCCTGTATTAAAAACAAGGGCGGTCATTTTGAATAAAATATATATTTTATTGTTCATTATTATCTATTTAATAGTTGCTGAAAAATTTGAAATATAAGTTAATGATTTTGCTATTGGTATGTTAGATGCATTCTTAGTGTTAGATGCATTCTAACATTACTACATAAAATGAGTAGGACATATTATTACGTTTGCAAATTAATATAATGAAAATAATCGGACAATTCAATAAAAAACTTTAATGGAGTTAAAATTTTGATAGCAATAAATAATATAGTTTTAAATTAATGATTGGAATAATGGAAGTAATAAAGCAATTACAGGAAAATAAAATATGTACAATAAATGAAATCTTGAATTAAAAATGCCTCAATAGATCAATTTTAGATAAAAATAATAATAATAATGCCAAATGACATAAATTAGCAAATTTTAAAGAAACAAATTATATTTTAAATTATAACAACAATATTAAATTAATTACACGTGAATCAATCAATTTTATACAAATAATATGAAATTGGCTTGTTTTGATTTGTATTTTTTATTGTATTTTTGAAAACATTATCTGACTATTAATTATAATTATTAAACTTACCATTTTATTTTATTTTTTGACGATGTAGTAGTAATATGATTATTAAATTACATTTTATTTTATCAACAATATTAAATTAATTACAAATCAATTTCATACAAGTGATAATATGACAGAATAATATCAAATTTATAAATTTGTCTTATTTTATTTATATGTATATTTTTGATGAATTTGAATGACTGTTAGTGATAATTAATTAACTTTATGATTATTATTAAATTGCCAGACCACTTATTTTATTTTTGATATGTATCCTCTCTATAAAGTGTTGCTGTGCCCGACAGGGTCCATAGTTTGATACTAATATTATTATTTTGTAACATCAATGTAACACTATGGTTTTGCAATAAACATTTGAGTATTGAGTATTAAGTATCTTGTATTGTATTTGCGTTTTTCTTTCAAACTAATTGATACAAAATGTTCTGTGCATTCTAGCGCTTTGATAATATTTAGATTAAATGATGACCTGAAGTAGACCTTTTCAAATGCTTAGCTTAGGCAGCAGTCCACCACAAAGTCATTTTTAGTACAAAAACCTTGTGAAGATATAGTAATCATCTTTATATCGTACGTTGAGAACGATAGTGACACAATGCAAAAATTGTGATTTTGAATAATTAGCGTTTAAAGATCAAGAAATTGTAATCAGCCCCTCTAAACAACGTATTCTTCAATAAGCCACCTAGCAGTTTCTATGCAAGCTACGTTCACAGGGATCTCTGCATTTTAAAGTTTATACTTAACAAAGAAAAATGTTACCAAAAGTAAAAAATACGTCGTTTTTGGTTAGTGACATTGTCATTCTCAACGTGCGATATGTATTTAGTGGAAGAAATAAACAAAACTATAATTAAAATATAGCTGTCTATACAAATCAAATATTATTAGGTTGATAAAAATTTACTCTACCTACTATTAAATGAAATTATGGTTTATATTCTATCGTAATTATATTAAACCGTAATATTTTAAAGATTTATCGTTCCGCATCGACACACTATTTTATCAATATAGAATCTGAAATTATTAATGACGAATATGATTTGACTACCGATACCGGTTCTACATTACACCCACAGAACCATGCAGTAAGATTCCATCCATACGAGAATTGGTTTTACCTACAATACATTAATTATGAGTCTCATTATCATGAATACGACTGGTTAAATAAAACTACTTATAACGGATATAAAATCGGTTTTATGATACTCAAAGTATCACGCTTGAAAATATACGAAACCAGTATGAATATGACTACCCAAAAATCATCGTCTTATTCCATTTATATGGAATAATTATATCATTTAATACTATTATAGTATGAAGTAATAGATTTAGTCGCACATCTTAACTAAAAGTAACTCATTAGTAGGCGCATTGATTAACAGTTGTCAGTACACTAACATATATCCACGATATTAGTAATAACCAGTGGTCGGAATTAGGTAGAGTTATTATATTTATACTTACACTGATTTCATACAGCGAAAGAATAAAGTGGATATGCCTCAAATCCCGAGATTAATTTTAAAGAGCAGAACAAATCCCGTCATTTTTTAAATAAAAAGTTATTTACTTTTACACAATTTAAACTACTGCACGCACGTTGCCAAACTTACATCAATGACATCGGATGTCCAAAGTTGCAAAATACCAATACGCGCGATGTTGCCACGATGGTCCACATTAATATCATCATTTCGATGCAAGTACATAAATAACTCTACCTAATTCCGACCTCTGGTAATAACTCATATTTCTCCCGTCACATCATGCATTCCTATAATAATATACCTAGTTATAAAATATAATCGTATCGAAAGGACATAAATTTACTCTTACACGAGACATGAGATTTTCTCTAAATACCTTACTTAAAAGGATTATGTTAACTCACCCTAGTTCCATTGGTATCCTGGTACTCCAGACCGAAGTAATCTGCCTCTAACAGATGCAACTGTCTACAAACCTGGTCAAACAGCACCCGCCCCAGCGCTTTCGACTGAAACAATGATACAACTGTAACATACAAATTGAAAAACCTTTTTCTTTTTTGATAATGCAAAATGATAATGCGCAGGGGAAATACACCTTAACCTTAAATCTAGGCCTCGCTGCTAGTCCCGGAGAGACTCAGGTGTAATCCTATGAAAAATCGGGACCCTATTACTAAGATTCCGCTGTCCGTCCGTGAGTCTATCCGTCTGGTGCCAGGCTGTATTTCAGGCAGTTATATTACAGTTAATAAGCACCAGAATATTTATTATAATTTCAGCATTAAATGATTGTTGTATATGTATGTATATCTATATGTATCTTCGACTTATTGAAATCGCCTCTGCCGGATTCTGCAATTCTATTACCACTACTAACACTATTTATATTAAAAAACAGCATACACTAAGTATGTATAGAAGTAGTAACGCAACCAATATCTGTTACACTTAACTGTACCAAAACACAAGATATTTGAAAAATCAATATATAATCCTACTCTTAGACAGGCAAAACGATATCGGTGCTTTGCATTGTTCTCGTTTGGAGCTGAAAAGAGCAGTGAATACCGTCCAGCGCTCACAGCCGAACACAAAGAGCAGTTTAATCGTTGTTCGACCGACATAATACGACCCGCGTATATGTAATGAAAAGCCTTTCTAGTACTCAGCACAACCATTCCTCTAACTTTTGAGCATTGATTCCAAATAGTTTCCGCAGTTCTGCAGACCATTCTACTAATGTTTACGTAATAATCGCATCTGAATAGAATCTGAACTACGATACTTGCATTTTACAATTGTACTATCTACATTTTTTATAACGCAGGGGAAATGCACCTTAAGTTTTAAACCAGGGCTCTCCAACCACCTTGCCCTGAAAAGGACAAGTTAATGTGGAAGGCCTACCTGGTAAAAACCGCTGCGGTTCACCGCACGCGGATAGGAAGAACCCGGTATCCTGCGAGGACCCGGTTTCTTGCGCGGCGCTTGGACTCCTCCCGCGGAGAGTGAAGAGGAATCGCCCTCTGCGGGAAGGAAAAGACTTGGGTGAATAACAGCCTTTTCCCAGACGGTGGGCCGTCCCCGCAGGCTAATCCCACGGGGGTGCGGATGGGGTGTCTGCCCTATCCGCCGGTCCACAGAGGGAAGGAATGCGTCAATACGCGATGCCAACCCCCTTGCCGCCTTTGTATTAAGAGTGCCATCTGGGCTTGTTGAGGACTTGTCTCAAGGTTGTACTCAAATCGCACTCGCGGCACTCTCATTCCCGCGGCCAACGGAGCCCTGTCGCCTCTCGGCACCGCCGAGACGATGCTATGCAAGCATAACCCAGACTGGCAAATCCTCGGCCCCATGCCGAGTCTGTAGCTGCGTCTCCACCAGTCAGGCGCCCAGTCCATCCGGGATAGATTGATCTCGCTGCCCGAACAATAGCAACGCAGCCACAATCGCATTGACAATTACGGTGTGCAAGCACACACTCAAACTCATATTCATACTTGATATGTCCACATTCACACACACACCCACATACGCACACTCTCACACACGAATACACAGACAACACGCCAACATACATCCTCACACCCGTCCTTATGCACTCACAGCCATATGCGCGTCCGGAGAACGGGGCGCGGACCCACTGACACACCAAGTGCCACGGCAGTAGGATCGTCCACCGTCATCACCACCACCATCGGACCCGCGGTATCCTGCCGCCCCCGGAAAACGGAAAGCGTCCGGCGTCCGACGTCCGAAAACGGAAAGCGTCCGACGGACGTCCGTTTTCGCGTCCCCAATGGCATCCCCGTGGCTGCAACCACAACTGTCAGTCTAATATTATTAGTGCAATGTCTTCCTCACACATCAATGGTTAATTTGGACTTCAGGTACAATGGCAAAATTCTATTGAGATGCGATTATTACGTATAAACATTTGCAGAATTGGCCCGCAGATCAGAGTTTGGATAATTTTCAATGCACATGCCAAGAAATTAAATAATCATCTATTTAGGTAAAATACTGCTACTGACGTTTATTCGATAAAATAGCAAATAGTCTATAGTTTAATATGAACGTAGGTCGATTTATAGAGCGAGCCTATTTTGTTCGGTCGGAGACGACAAGGGCTAAACAGATTTAGGTCATTTTCAAGCGAGACGTACTTGGATTGGTTCGATGGCTCCAATTAATGAGTCTGACGTAATATTTTAAACCATGACAACCTCCAATAGCGGACTGATTAATAAAATAACGGTTAAAGCACGTGAACGTTAGATGATCTGGGACTAAGTTAAGATAAATTGCCAATATTTTTAAACAGATTCAACAAAGGCCGTTAATCATTTGGTAAATCATTACATTTGGTAAATAATTAAAATTATCACATGCATGGTGGCATAGTGGAAAAGTGCCATAATCGTTGTTGCTAAGCAACTTTCGCAAGGGTCAGTGACGGGATGGATGACCAAAAATTTTCTTTATCACGAGCTACTCCGTGTTTTGGAAGGCACGTTAAGCCTTTGGTCCCGGCTTTCGTCCCGGATATGCTATCGTTAATAGCCTCCAACCCGCATTGGGCCAGCGTAAAAAGCGGCTGATGACAATAATGATGAAACACAATCATTTAGGTGAACACTGTCCGATTCCCTATAAACGCAATTTTGTAAATTTATATACATAAATAATAGATTACCAATATTTCAGATTCTTGAACAATTTGTTCGCATTTATCCGATACCGGGATATTTTTACAGAAAACATTTCACTAAGTGTGATTTCGTGTTACGAGAATTGGCAAGAGATTGATGCGAGGGTACGATATAGAGTGAAAATTATCTAGGATTTACCAACACCGACCCTCCCTGTGGAGTACCTACCAGCTTGTACGAAACGGTGTTATTATAGAAACAAATATGTCTGTTAACACTGTCCGTCATGTCGTTCGTGATAAAATCAATAATAGTATTATTATAAGGAGGAAAGATTTTTTTGTTTGTATTAGGCTTCGAAACAACCGGAGCTATTTTGAAAAAATCTTTCACCTACTAGAAGCAATAATTTACGCGGGCGAAGACGCTGTAAAACAGCTAGTTATTTACAAAGTGCATGTTTATTAAATTTATGACATTAAAATGGGTAAATATACACACACATTCAAACACAAACCTACACATGTATCTACATGATTACGCTGGAAAAAACCACTCATTTATTTCCAATAAGCTTAGTAATGGCCTATATACATTTACGAAAGCCTATCTTGAACTTTTCGATACGCTCCAATGACCAAACGGTCGTTTATTTTCATCAGTATTAAAAAGAATGTGGGCGAACCTTAGGGCTATCAAACTTATTTGCGGATAAAAAGGTACCAACCAAGCTTGGCACCAGATATGATAAGATAACACGACGACACTTTCAACGTTATCTTCAAGAATAATTAATTCAAGAGTGCCAGTAAATCTGCGATAAAATATCAGCAAATCTGAAATCACATCTAATGATATATAAATCGTATAGTTTTATAATGTATTGATAAAGATGTATCAATTTATATTTGACTTGTTCAGTCGCGGTCACCATTTATTCTAAATTTATCTAAATAAATAATAGAAACACAATAATTCGTTTAAAATACAGAAGCCTTAAAAAATTGCGAAGAAATAGAAAAAGTTTCTTCTAAAAGACGCATCAATTCAGTGTTTATTAAGATATAGAATAACACCTTTATGTATATATTAAGTTACACATGACCCTGTTCACTACATTGTAACGTGACTTTCATCAAGTTAGAGGGGGAAATGCACTGTATAACTAACTACACAACGCTTACACAATGGCTATTAGTAAGGGCTTAAGAAAATTATAATTGGAAGACTAATAACAGTTCTAGAAATACCAGATGATCAGTCCACAAAGCCTAATTTCTATAAATGCAAGACTCTATTCAACTGATCGTTGACAAAAATAGCCCATTATCCGTACTCTAAGGATGACAGATTCTCGCTTGACATCGCCAGGGACGAATTTACCCTAGCGCGAAAAGGCTACGATCCGGAGCGGCGTTCTACGAAGGGCGACACAAGCGGCATATTTTTTTTTTTGTATACTTTCTTATCAGTATTTAAAAACTGTCTATATCAGCAGCATATAATGTAGCACACCGTAGTTGAAAGATATTTCAAATCGTAACAGTTTCGGTGACTATTCGGTGCAAATAAACAAGTAATTTCCTCTTTCTAGAATTAGAATAGAAAATGCGGATGAAATAGGCCAACAAAGCCAAAGATTCGACATTATGCTTCTACAAATCGGTATTATTGACCCAATTCATCGTGTGAATTTATAAACGGAAACGGCTCTTCTATTATCCAATTTACAGATTTAACAATTGCAATTACTTACAGTTTATGTTACATTGAAATTGTTATAAAACTCTATGTAATATAGACATCTATCGATCGATACTTGGTGTGCCTATCGAATGTGCAATTCATGCCAACTAATGGGTGTTTCTATCTCGTTACACAAGGGATGTCGTATAAAGAATATACCGAAAAATATATCATGACATGATTACGTCATTTCTATAGAATTTAAATCTTACGAGTCTCGTTATTATACTACTAGCAAAATTACCATAACTTCAGTGTTATTCAACACAATTAACATATAAATTACTAAATGCACACATCTAAAGTAACCTAGATTTAAGGATTTAAAATAAAACATAAAATTCATCTTACAGAATAAATCTTATGGCCCGGTATTACGGTCGTGTCAGCATTAACCAAAATATGAGTAATGAGAGTAAAGGGACCACAAGCATAAATTCCGAATCCGAATCCTCGGAATTCTTACAGAGGGCAGTCCTGCCTGAATACTAGAATGTAGAGGTGGCTCGTTATGGTCATCTGTGAGCAGACATTAGAGCATCGGTTCTCAATCTTTTTCTCAAAACACACCACAAAAACAAATCACAAATCGATCCCGAGGTAAGTAG